TAGAAAAATCCACTATGAAAAAAATTTAGGAGTTACAATCTCTCTTTACAAGGAGAAACTCTCACTATTGGGTGGGCCTGCTCTCAAATCTCACGTGAAAAAAAGCTCCGCTCATTCACGTGTTCACAATGTTCACGCGGTTTCACTTGGGCTTCACGTGGGTGGCCCCCACTCCGTCTGCGTTCACAATAGTGACATCTAGATGTTGGTGATTACTGTAGCGGGTAGGTGTTTACTGTTGACACAGTAACTTTCCATCATAAAGATGGAACTAGACTGCATGCTATTTGAAGGATTTGATGAGTAATTGCAAAATACTGAATATTTGAAGGATGTATCTGAAAGATAAGCATTGTAATATCAAAGCAGAACCTTTTCCTTGTTTCTATTGTGGGTAATTTTGCACTGTGTCTTTTCTTCAGAAATAAACGAATTTAACCAAAACACAACAAAAAAAAAATCTGCTAAATGCCATCATCAACTGTCATCCTGAAGTAAAATAACATGCAACACATAAAATTTCCTTGAGAGTGCATAAAGATCTCTAGAACAATTTCAGGGCTTTGTTCAATTTTCTCTTGCAGTAAGAAGCAAAAGTAACAAAAACATAACATATGTTAGTCACTGCTACATGGTCCAAAACATGGAAATAAATATCAGATGCCTCACATAAAATGCAAATGATTTATGTACCTCTGCGTAATTGTTATTATGTCACTTGTAAACTAACTTATCGTTCAAATAAACCATCTATTAATGCTAACAGTGTGAAACCACATCGTTAGCACTATTAGAAAAAGGCTTTGTTGCTGTTGTTGTAATGTGAGACCAGATATTTGACCTACTGCAATAGCTCCACATGCTTATGAATCTACTATTATTTATCAGCAATAACTGGTTTTGCTTATACATTTACCATATTTGTCTCTCATTAATATACAACCTAATACAGTTTCCACCCCTATAAAAGCCAAACCTGACCAATATATTCAGACACGGCATCATAGAGAAAATTAAGATGAATAACGGGACAAAAAATAAACAAGAAGTAAAGAGCCCTAGTAATTATAACTTCACAGTGGGAAACAATAAAAGTCAATACAAAGCACAATTGTCATTTGATATCTGTTATAGCTTACATTCGATCTAAATATTGATACGTTCAGTATGATCAATCAAGTGGAAACAAGAACGATGCCTCAAATATTGAGAAAATATGGTCACCATGTAATTTGGTTGATCTGGTGGTACGGAACCAGGCTTCTTGGTAAGAAACAAATGGCAATTTAGCCGGCATTAGAAACTAGCTAGATACTGGATTATTCATCACACAGTTTGGTTCATGTACACAAATCATACCTCCCTCAACTGCTCTAGTCATTCTAAAGTTGGTTATAGCTACCTACACAATAAACAAAGGTCAATCGAGTCAGTATTCCTGTGATGTGACATGACCACAATATTAGCTAAAATAATATACAACGTAGAAATAATTAGGTGAAAAGTGAAAGCAAGGAACCATAAACCCCCCATCCTCAAACGTGAATCACCATAATTTTTTTCGCGAGTAAATTTCCAAACCAGAATGACTTCTCAGCTCAGGATGGCGGGCATAAATACATGTGAACTAAAACGCCCTCGGTGATTAGCCGTAGGCCATAATTATCACTTCTTGTTAGAACCTAAATATCATGCCAGCAATAAGATATGGTAACATGTATCCTATGTTTGATTTCTTGTGATTTTAATTGAAATCAAGGACCAACAGAGGGAACACATCACTTCCCCCATTCCTGTAATATAGAGTACAAAACAATTTCTAATTTCACATATATATAATTATGTCATCATATGCAAACTCTAAAAAATAGTGTACATACTCATCCTGTGAATGGATTTAGAACAATGTTAAAACGACGTTCTGCAAGCCGAAGCAACAGAGTAATTAGTTGATCCCGATTCCCGGCAATGTGAGACATTGCTACCACTTTTTGCTAAAAATATAGAATACACAACAGAATTGATAAAAATAAGTAAATAATAAACAATCAAGGGCACGCAAGATTTTATAGTGGTTCGGATAACAATCCTATATATCCACTCTTCTTTCTCACAAAGAACATTCCTCACTATGCTAAGATTTATCTTGAATCACAACCCGATTTAGTATGCAAATAAAGACTGCACCTTAGAATCTATCTAAAACCAATTATCTAATCTAACTCTCCACAATGAGTAACACTAACCCATCTATGGTTATAAAGAATCATCGATGGTTATAGGAGACAATGGAATAAATCTAGAAATCAGAATCGGCACCATCGATGGCTATTGTTAAACCATCGAAGATCACCAAGGGACCAACAATGGTCGTGATCTATCATCGATAGTTATGACAAAATTTTATAGTTTTTAGGATTTAATCTCAGCCATTCATCGACCCGTTTGATCTCCTATTTACAATCATATTTGAGTATCTCTTTCCTATTCTCTCAAGGTCTATTTAAGTGGAGTTGGAGATCATAATTAACGATGAAGTTCAAGGAGGCAAATAAACAAAGGAGAGATCTTTATTCTAGAGTTTGAGAGAGTTGATCAAATCCCCTAAGCCTTGTTTACCTTCTTCTCTATGAGCTTTTCATCGGAGTTTCATTCAGCGAAAAGGAGTACTCTATGCTTACATCACTACATGGTTTCTTCACGGATCTTCATCTTCATCAATTTGAAGAACAATTTGCTAAAGGGCTATAAGATTATTTTATTTGTGCTTAATTATTTTTGGGTTGTATTTCAAACTTGTAAGTTTGGCGGCAAACTCAAGCCAGGGTAATTGAGGATTGGGCTAGTTAATTCTAGTTTTGATGGCATACTCAAACTGAGATAATTGAAGGTTGGGCTAGCTAGGGTTATGTTTCTTCATGTCATTGTGAAGAGTCATGTTACACAACTGGTTTTGGGTAGATGTCGGGGTGTAGTATTTAAAGCTTACTGAATAAGGTTGTGATTCAGGTGAGCTCTGGTCATAGTGAGGAAGAGCCTTCGTGAGAAGGAAGAGTGGATGTAGGATTTCTATCCAAACCACTATAAAAATCTTGTGTGTTCCTGTGCTGGTTTGCTTTTTGTTTTTCATTTATTATATTTCCACTGCATTTTCTATGTTTAGTGTAAAATTGTAGCTATCCTATTTACCCCCCTTGTAGGCTTGCATCCCAGTTCCAACATAAAGTGATTAGTTGATCCCGACTCCCAGTGGTGTGACACATTTCTAACTTTGCAATGTATCTTCTGTAATAAAACAACAAAATATACCAAGTAGTGATGTAAATATCAATCTTACTACTGTTCAAAACTGCAAACTAAAAAATAAGAATGAAGCCTAGAGCAGCACAAGGGGGGAAAAGGAAAAAAGAAAAAAATAATAATTTAAATAAAAAAATTTGAAAAGTACAGGCTTGACAGACGTACAAAAGTGCCTAAACACAAAATACGAAGGCAGTTACCAAGCAAAGTAGCTTCTTCAATAGATGTGAATCGTTATATATGCTTTCCAAAGAGTTAATTAATAAAATTGGAAATTTAAGATCAATTATAAGTGTCATGAATTGTTTGTACAACAATGGAGTTAATTAATAGTTACTTAGAGTTGCATTTGTACAACAATGGAAAATGGTGGTTTGGGGGGTGTTTTGTGCCAAATATTGGTATGCTACTGCCACTAAGCTTCTACGGATGATTCACCTCAAAAGGATCTATTATGGATAAAATGGCTTCATGGCAAGTATTTAAAACAGTTTTGATATTTGGCAACTTCAGTGTAGAGTCAATGACTCCTTGATGTGGAAACAACTTCTCCATGCGAGAGATTTTGCTATCACTCAGGGGGAGTAAACAATCTCAAAGGTGCTATACTTTATTGCTACAGTGGTGGAAAAATCCAGTTGTCTGTCATATATAAGATAATTGCTCCATCTGTTGCTCCTGTCAGCTGGTATTCCTCTGTTTGGGGTGGACTGAATTACCCCAAACACTCTTTTATTCTCTAGCTTGTTGTTCGGTCTAAGCTTCTAACTCAAGACAGATTAGGCCACTTTGGTTTAAACCATTCTGTTTTATGCAATGAGCACTCTCAAACCCACAATCATTTGTCCTTTGAGTGTTAATATTCTATGGTTGTACGGATTGGATTCGTTAACTGGTTCTCTTCAAGGCTAAAGGGTAAGTGTTCTTGCAAAAGCTTAAGAGAATGGCTTTGTCAACTATGGTATATATGTTATGGCAGGAAAGAAACATAGGAGTTTTCCAGCAAACAGCAAGAGTGAGCTCTATTTTGATGCATACAATCATGACATCCATTCTTACTGTTATACTCAATAGGGATTCTGAATGTGTAAATTCGAAGCTTGTTGCTTCTTTTTGATTTATTGTTGTTAGCTTCTCAGGTTTTGTGCCGGTAGTATCTTGATGTACTCTAATCCAATTGGTGAATAATATAAAAATAGTCGTGTTTTTTGGTGACCAACCCCGCCACCCCCACACACACCCCAAAAAAAAAGATAGCCTCTGATATCCTAATCAGATGAAGAGAAGCTCAAAATCAATAAAGAATAAGATTGATTGAAGTGCAATATAAACCATAAATCCGTCAGTTCAATTCAAACATGAGATTACAGATTAATCTTGTAAGTTAAATTACCATAAAACTTTCTAAATAGACAGAAGAGAACATGGCAGGCAAAATAGATACGATAAGTACACCGGTTCAATTCAATGTTTATTTTCTCCTTGTTTTACTGCATTCTTTTAGTACCACAAAATAGGTCTACGAGGACAGTTCGTTGGGGACGGTTTAAAACCGTCCCCTTAGCTATCTAAGAAAACGGTTTTGTGATGGTTCCAACCGTCATAATAGAGTCTAAAACAACGCTTTAAAATAAAGCGTTGGGCTTAAATTAGTTTTGCAAATAAATTCTGTAATGGGCTAAAGGGACGGTACCCAAATTTTTATTTTTGGTTCCAAGCGCCACAATTTCCACACTAAATTTTCATTTGACCGCTCCATAAAAACCCTAAAAACCATTCAAGTCCCCAATTCTTCATTCAGCATCTCCCGATCTCCTCCTTTGCCTCTCATCCTACTCCGCTCGAACTTCCCGCACACCGACCTCGATGGTGTCAAGATCCCTCCGGATCACCGGCGGCTCATTTTCGTGGGAAAGCAGCTTGAGGATGGCCTAATCTCACTCTTCAATCGATCCATTGAATGCCCTTGAATCTGGCAAGATTCGGGAGGACCAGCAGGAGTTTCGAGCGTCGAAGCTTAGATCTAGGGTTCGATGATTGCCTGATATTGGGGGCGGGGATTTGGAAATCTAAGGTTTGATGATTGCCTGAGATTGGGGATAATAAAGTGGGGAGATGAGAGGGGAGGTCGAGGGGGTAAAGGGACAATGATTGGGGTGGGGGGTCATTGGTGCTCCGATCACGGAGTTATGGGTCATCACAGCAAGTGCATAATTCACTTTGTTCAGTCTCCACATTGCCGAACACTTTGACGCCGGTTTTATTTAGGAAGAATTTGAAGATGCTGTTGCCAGGATCAAGAGAGAATGAGAGGAGATTGTCGGTGATTTTTAAGATTGCGAGCAGAAAGAAAGTTGGGATACTTTTGCTGCTCATCATCACGACGATTGTTGTTGTGTTGTCCTTCTTCGCTGTCAATAGAGGTATTGCCTTTTCTATGATTTGTAGTGATTGATGCAAAATGGTAATTTGGAATTGGATCTGGGTTTATGCTAACAATTTGAGTTTAAAAATGTGGTTGTTTTTCCTAATTACTGAGTCTAATCTTGTTAGGGACTAATTCGTAGTGATTGATGCAAAATGTGCATGTGTGTATCATTGAGTTATAATCAACCTGACTTTTGAAACTAAAAGTGGCAGTGCTTATAAATGGCAATCCTGATTTTTAAATTATTACTAAGATGTAATAGCATGATATCAAGAGGATGGATGACCTTCCTGAGAGTTGTATTGCAGTAGTTGACTGCAGAAGGGACAATTGCAGCTCTGTCTTAAGGAACTTCAACAAATATATAGTTAAAACTGATGTCTGCTAATATGAAGACAATCTGGTTTATCATGAAGCATATAATAAGCTAATTATTCTACAAATGTCATACTTTAAACTATGTGATATCTGATACTTCGTAATATTTATCTAACAAATTAGAATTACTTATATAGGTTCGGTTAAACAACTTCGGTTTTTCACTAACAAGTTTTCGCGTTCTTTTCATACCTAGATTAATGTTGCTTTTGTATGCCACTTGCTAATTGTTAAAGTTATGAATCTACTAGCTTAGAGAGCAAAAAGAATTCATACAATAAACCATGGGAGCTAGTGAAATACCCTTAGTCCATAGCAATCGTGTTGCTCTGTAGTTTTAGCACTTTCAGACTTTCAGACTAACTAAAAAGGGGTGTTCATGCCCTTTTTTTATTAGCACTGACACTTTCTTCCACTGGTTGAAGGGCATTGTACTTGGGAAATTAAACCAAAAAACCTTTTGGTGCTAAGAAGTGACTCTGTTAGGATTTATTTTGGTGTTAGCCAAGTTCTTGAGGTAATTCGTCATCTTACTTCCTCAATGATCCTTAAGTGCTTCTTTGTTTTTGTTGTTGTGTTATTATAATATTGACGGCAGCTAAGCCTCCCATTTTCTATCTCTCATGTAGGACTGCAGTGAAGAGCTCTGGGGGTCTCTAGGAACCCCTGTTTTTCACATAAATGTTGTTTAGGTAACCTAAATCCTTCACTTATAAAATTAAGTTTTTAGAGATCTAATCACATTTATGCGTACCATTTCATAGTTGTTTCTAATGATAAAAATCTCTCGAACAAGCTCTACTTATAATGGTAAAGCTGCGGATGCATGGGTTCTTGGCATTATATTATATTGTATGATACTTGGTAATTGCCCATGTATCGGGGCAGCCTGCAAGATACTTATTGTATAATACTTGGCATTATATTATATTGTTTAACCATCCTCCAAGGACATTGCATGCAGCACCTCCCTCCTACATATTATGGAATTTAGCTGCCATGATCTCATGTAATCCTCAGACTGGAAGGCATCTGTTGCACTTGCAAATAATTTCAAAGCTGCTCACAGGTAATGTTGTATATCTCTTTTGCATGTAAGTTTCTACTTTCTTGTCTGTCACATTAATCTTCTTTGGTGATGGATATTCCTTTTGTTTGCATATATTGTGCTAAGTTTAATGAATCAACAGATTTGCCCCTTGTATACTTCTACTTCGTTATTTTGATGTTCGGGAGTATCTTTGATGTTCGGGATTATCTTCAAATGAAGGTTCAACATTTGATCAAGTCGGCATTATCTCTGAAGTTGCGTCTATTATTAGAGAGTTTACCAAACCACTAGCTAATCATGGTCTTGTAAGATGCCCCTACAAAATCTTCATCCATCCATACTTATCTTAGGTTATTAGAATTAGTGCAAGTATTTTTTTTGGAAATCAATTTAATCCAGAATCTTATGATGACATTTCTTATGGCTCAGTATCTAGTTGAAGCTGAAAGAGTAAGTAGGCATCCTGTATTGCTCGTTGCAGCTGCAGATAGTTCTGAAGGTTTGCAACCACCAGTCAGACGTTGCGTCAGCCATGAAATTGCCATGAGTCCTTTGATAGAGGCTCAACGAGCTGATATGTTATCCTCTTCTCTTGAGGGTGTCTCAAAGCTCCAGCATGAGGTGTGTGATTTTTCACTTCCTCGTCTTTAGGCTTACAATCCCCATATAGGTAACATGGTTCATGTATGCAGAACATCAGAGACGACTTAATTAAAGATGTTATTGGGCAGACATCCAGTTTTATGCCTAGGGATATAAATGGTTTGGTGGCTGATGCTAGTGCTAATTTTGTACATCGAATCCTCAATGACAAAGATAATAATGGATCCAGAGAGTCTGGTGAGAAAACTATTTCCAAAGTGATGTCAGCTCAGGATGAGAAAAGTGTAAAATAAACATATCTATAAACTAGGAAATCCACTGGTGTCCCATAACACCATTGGACATGATGTATATCTGCCACTACATATGAAGTATACGTTATAGATCTTGTGACTACCTTTTTTTATTATAGCTTGACAATAAAATTGTATAGTTGGTTATGTATTTGTTTTTCTCTACGCATTCTTTCTCTTACCTAATTTTTTTCTAATATGTGATACGTACCAACAGGGTAGGTTCCCAAGTTTCATACTTTTTATGACGTGTTTTGATCAGTTCATGAACTCAATTCCATTCTCTAGCCTCCCTATAGCTAAGATCAATGTCAGCACAAAATATTTCCTTCTTGCCAATATTGACAAAATGAAGGTCGCTCTATCATCTAATCAATTGTTTGTGGAAATTAGAATAAGACGCGTATACTTATACTGCAATTATCTACTTTACATAGTTTTGGTAATAATTAACTTCTTATGTGACTAACCTTTGATTGCATGTGATAAACTATGTAGGATATATCGTTTGAAAGTTCGAAACTGGACTTGATTCGGCCTTGTTATGAAGCTACATTGGGGGTTTATTCACTGGAGGATGAACTCATCATTGAAGTTCAATGTAGAGGTTGCTCCAACTTTTAACATTTGAATGTTCTCTATATAATGCAGTAGACCAGTTTGACCATTAGTTATGTCTTCCACTGAATACATTTTATTAGGCTTTTATTTTTTTTAGTTTTCTATTTCTCCCGAACTTATTGCCCTTATCATGCAGCCATGCCAGGGTCATCGTCCTCCATTAAGATGCAGTGCTCCTCAGAAGTTGAAAAGCATTTGAGTGCAGGCACTATGATTTAAGAGTTTGTACTTGAGGTGACCTTCAGGCTGAGACTTATGTTCTTTTTTATTTCAGGCATCGTCCTCCATTAAGACAAAAAATACACTTTTTATTTTAATGAAAGAGGAATTTTAGTCATGTACTTTGGACAAAAGAAAAAACTTGTACTAAAGTCATTGTAAGTCATGTACTTTGGACAAAAGAAAAAACTTGTACTAAAGTCATTGTAATGAACCAATGAATTGTTCCTTATGTTTGGTTGTTTAACTTGTACTAAAGTCATTGTAATGAACCAATGAATTGTTCCTTATGTTTGGTTGTTTGCTACCAACATTATTTGGAGTTTCATTTATTTGTTTGTGACATGAGCATGTATAAATCATGGAGTTTTCGTTTTGTTTTATTCTATTTTAATTTTGAAACTATTGGTTAAAAAAATGCGTGATATATTTGGATGGTTTGCTTTTCACGGTCAAAATAGAAAACCATCTCCTTTGCTATATATACATGTTCCCTTATCTTTACATCTAAAAACCATCCCCATTGCTAAAAACCATCCCCATTGCTAATCATCTCCTTAGGTATAAAAACTGTCCCTATAGATTACAAACAAAATCGTTCCCATAGACAACAAAACCGTCCTCCTTGATCAAACTTGAAACCATCCCCCTTGGTGCGTAAGCATCACGGTAGCTTAAAAATATAACTGTTCCCGTTGCCAAATAACTGTCACCATCTACAAAAATATGAACCGTCTCCATTATTAAACCGTCCCCAAATGTTGTCTACAGAAACAATTCAAGAACCACGCCACTTAGATCATGAACCATCCCTAAGATCAAAGACTACGGCAACAAAGGTATCATATGAGTAACCGTTCTATTAGGCCTATAAGAATGGTTTTATTGTCTAGCGGGACGGTTATAAACTGTCCCCGTAGACACATTATTTGGTAGTTTTTTCAAACATATATGATAATTAGTAGCTACTGAGCAGGGCGTGTCAGCTCATGAATTTCTGTTTCTGGTATCCCTCCCCAGTATTATGTACTAGTTTTTTTTGTCAATTTTAGGAGTTTATGTGAGTTTGTAGTAAAGAGTGATGCTGTAGCGAGGGGCTCTACAGACACAGAAGATGTCTATATAAAAGTAGATAATAGCATAGTATATGTAATCACAATAGAGATAGAGCACAACACACAATGATTTAACTTAGTACGGTCAGTGTGACCTACATCCACAAATGAGAATAACAGAGAAATTCATTAATCACAAAAGAGAAGATTACAAAGGAGATCACCCTTTTACCTCACCAAAGAATCACACAAAGGAAGAAATTAATTCTTTATATAAATTAATTCTTTCTATTTCTCTCTTTTACGAAACTCCTCTCTGTCCTAATGTTCCTAACGCCCCACCACTCCGCCTCATTTATAGCCCATTAATTATAATAAAAATTTGCTAATGGTTGGTGAAACAGTATTGGAGGTGGATAAAACGGTGAAGTTTGGTGGGTCAAAATGCAATCTTGATTTCTCTTCTCTTTATTCAAAGTCACATTTCACAAATATCCACATTGACTTTGAATATGAACATCTTCTCTTACCTCTTGCTATCTCACCAGAAGCTCCTTACGAGTTTAACCTCCATTTTGTTGAACTCCAAGCAATTAAAGACAATGCTCGAACTTGAGCGAAGATACAGGCTTTATTATCATATCTGCTGGATTATTTCTCTAATAAAATGATACCTAACATCTTTATATTTGGTTCTTTCATGATACATCTGATGTTTTGTCAAATGTATAACACTCTGACTATCACAAAATATCGTAGTAACACATTGGTGTAAGCCGACATCTTCAACCAAACCTTTCAACCAAATGGCTTCTTCTTTTGTCACTACATACTCTGCCTCTATAGTAGACAAAGTAACTGTCGATTGTAGAGTCACCTTTCAACTAATGGCAATACTTGAAAGAGTGAATAAATAACCTGTCAGGGATCGTTTCTTTTCAAAATCACCCGCATAATTTGAATCAGAATAGGCAAGTATTCTGCAATCTGAAATTTGTGTTTCTGCCAAAATATAAACTAGTATTAGCAAATCATCTTAAATATCTAAGTATCCATTTCACATCCTACCAATGGACCTTTCTAGGCCTATCCATATACCGACTCATAACATTAACTGCATGTGAAATATCTGGACGGGAGCAGACCATAGCATACATAATGCTTCCTACTGCACTGGCATAGGGAACACATGACTTGTACTGTTCCTTTTCTTCAGTCTAAGGTGAAAAATCTGCTATAAAATGAAAATGAACAACAAGCAAAGTCTTCACAGGCTTGGTATCAAGCATTCCAAATCTCTCCAACACCTTCTTGATGTATTTCTCCTAAGGTAAGAATAAACTTCCTTCTCACCTATTCCTATGAATTTCCATCCCCAAAATCTTATTTGCTGCTCCCAAGTCCTTCATCTCAAACTCATGTTTGAGTTAAGATTTCAACTCATTGAGTTCTGACATATCTTTAGCTGCAATTAATATGTCATTAACATACAAACGTAAATATATGAAAGAACCATCATGGAGGTTTTTATGATAAACACAACTATCATATTTGATCCTAGAGTAACCATGCTCAAACATGAAAGTGTCATCTCAAATATCATTATTTCAGAGACTGTTTCAAGCCATAAAGAGATTTCTTCAACCTACACACATGATCTTCTTTAACTTCAATAATGAACCCCTCTGGCTGATGCATAAAGATCTGCTCTTCAAGCTCTCTATATAGAAAAACCATCTTCCAAATTAAAATGAGTAACCATGGCAAGCAACACGCCAATTAAGGTGTGTTTTATAACTAAAAAAATACTTCATTGAAATCCACACTTTCAATCTGACTATAGCCTTTAGTTACCAAGTTTGCCTTGTATCTTACAGAATCTGTATTTGGAGTTCCTTCTTTCTTCTTGTACACCCATTTACAGCCAACAATCTTATGTCCCCTTGGTAGATTCACTAACTCCCATGTCTGGTTCTTGTAAAGAAACTTCATCCCTTTAGTCATCGCAATAGTCAAATCTGCTGCTTCACTACCACTAATAGCCTCTTTATAGGTAGAAGATTCTGAAATCTCAATCAATTCTGCTATACTCAAAGGGCAAGCAAGCGTGTCTGTATAACATGTAAAAGGTTGAATCTGCCTTTTTGTTCTCCTACTTTCAATATTATTTGTTGCTCTTGCGGTGTATCAGCATCTGAAGTTGAACCTTCCGTAGTTTTAACTGGCTCAATATGAGCACCCTCAAGCACTCTCTTTGAAGCTGAGTTCTCTAGCTCCACCTACTTACTAGACTCATTTTCAGTATCTATGGTATCAATGACAAACTCCTTTCTTGGGTGAAGCGTGGATTTCTCATCAAAAGTAACATCACTACTAATAATAAATGTAGATGATTTGGGATCAAAACACCGCAATTTATATCCCTTTACCTCATTAGCATATCCTAAAAAGATAGCTTTCTTTGCTCTGGGTTTAAGTTTACCATCACTAAAATGAAAATAAGCAGAGCAACCAAATACTCTTAAATGAGAGTAATTAGCATGGGCATAAGACCATATGTCTTATGGAGTCTTAAAATTAGTTACTATAGAAGGAGATCTGTTTATCAAATAACAATCTGTATTGACTGCCTCGGCCTAATAGTCTTTTGACAAACCGGCATTAGAGAGCATGCACGGAGCTCTCTCTAAAGTGTTATGTTCATCCTTTCTGCAACTCCATTTTGTTATGGTGTATGCTGTACTCTACGGTGACGCATAATACTTTCAGTCTTGCAGAACTAGTCAAACCCTACAGAGCAAAACTCCATCCCATTGTTGGTTCTGAGGTGCTTCACTTTTTTTTCTTGTTTGCTTCTTAATCATAACCTTTTATTACTTGAAGATTGTAAATACATCACTCTTATGTTTCAAAGGATATACCCAAAATTTTTTGGAATAATTATCAATTAATATTAGCAGAAAATGAGCTCTACCTTTTGATGGAACCTGAGAGGGACCCCAAACATGTGAATGAATATAATCAAAAGTACAATTGGTTTTGTGAACACCAATACTAAAAGAGACTCTATGGTGTTTGTCGAAAACACAATGCTCACAAAAGTCTAGTTTGCTAGTTTCTGACCATAAAGCAGACCTTGTTTGCTTAATACATCTAGTCCTCTTTTACTTATATGCTCTAACCGCATATGCCCTGAACGTATAGTGTCAGAATCTGAATCCTCTGAAGATGACATTGCTGCAGCAATTGTCACTGTACTGCCTTTAAGGATATAGAGATTGTTTATTTTCTTTCCTTTCATAACAACAAGAGAGACTTTACTAACTCCTCCACCTTCAGCCAAAAACTTAAAACCATTGGAGTCAATGGTGCCTAAAGAAATGAGGTTCTTCTTTAACTCTGATATATGTCAGACATTGCTCAATGTTCTAATAATACCATCATGAGTTTTAATTTTAATTGATCTAATATCAACAGTTTTGCAATGCATGTTATTTCCTAACAAGACATTCCCACCATTAATAGACTGATATGTGACAAATTAATCCCTATGTTGACACATATTGTAGGAACAACCCGAATCAAGAACCAACTCATCATGTGAATGAGTATTAACACTAACTGAAAGAACTTCATGTGAACTAGAAGAGTCTTCACTTATTTTATGATATGGAGGATCCATTTTTAGTGGCAGCCACAGAGCATATGATAAGCAGATGCACACACCCTAACTCAGGCTCTGATACCAGTTTGTTACAGCGGGGTGCTCCACAGACACAGAAGATGTGTATACAAAAGTGAATAATAGTACAGTACTGTGTAATCACAGTATAGACAAAGAACAATATACAAGGATTTAATTTGATTCTGATAGTGTGACCTACATCCACGGGCGAGAACAGCAGAAAAATTCACTAATCATAAAAGATAAGATTACAAAGGAGATCACTCTCTAACCTCACCAGAGAATCACACAAAGAAAAAAAAATTAATTCTCTATATAAATTAATTCTTTCTATCTCTCTCTTTTCTAAAACTCCTTTCTGTCCCGATGTTCCTAATGCCCCACCATTCCTCCTCATTTATAGCCCTTCAATTATA